TTTTTTTTTAAAAAAAAAGAGGCTGAAAGATTATAAATTGTGACAGTGTCAGAGCTTAAACACAATGACTTGAATTAACTAGAACAAACACTCACAACCCGGCACTCTGTGGCAGGTTATGCCATCACAGCCAACCTAGGGCACAAAGTTATACAACACAGCCACAGCCTAGCCACTGAGTGCACCTGACTGCAGTAAGGTCCTCTGAAGAACCACTTGGATGTGCCCAGAATTACTTCACTCTTCACACTTCACTCTTCAGCCTAAATGATTCTCTAACCTGGAGGTAGTCTACATACATGTTTTATTTGGCAAGTCCAATAGCTTTTGTTTGCTTTTAAAAATATAAATGTGATCCCTCTGGCTGGTCATCAAAGGTATTTGGGTTGAGATACCTGCCAGAATTTCAGGCAGTGACAAAGAGAAATGAAAAACTCTTTTAAGCAATACTAGTTACCTGTCCCCTGGAGAGTTACGTACAACACCACCTGACACCCAGACTTTGTCAGCTTCCTTATGCAGATGCTGCTTTTCAAATTTTTTTTAAAGGGAAAGCTATCCAAGAATTATTTATTATTCCTTCTTAGTCATTCATTCCTTCTTNCCTGGAGAGTTAGGTACAACACCACCTGACACCCAGACTTTGTCAGCTTCCTTATGCAGATGCTGCTTTTCAAATTTTTTTTAAAGGGAAAGCTATCCAAGAATTATTTATTATTCCTTCTTAGTCATTCATTCCTTCTTCTTTTTTTCATTTTTTTAAACTTTTTAAAAAAATGTAGCTTCTCAATTTACATTGTAGTTGATTTTTGTGTCCCTTTTAAACCTACAAATTCTCTAAAAATTTTGTGTCCTTTTAAAGTATCATCCATTCAGTAGTAGCAAAAGATCTGGGTAGGGCACATGCTTGTAAATACCAATCATTTACAAGTAAACATTCTCTATGTTAATATTTCTAATAATTAATTTAAATGTGAATCATAGCAATATTTAAAAGAAACAGCAAACCCAAATATCATATTTTACTCCATAAATATATATAACTGTTGTGGGTCAATTAAGAAAAAATAAATTAAAAAGGAAAAAAAACAATTTCAGAGGCAGAAGTAGATCAGAGGTTACCAGAAACGAAGGGGAAGGAGGAGTGGAAATGAGAATTTATTGCTTTTCTGGGTACAGAGTTTATGGTTAGCATGACAAAAGAGTTTTGGAAACAGGTAGAGGTTAGTAGTTACACAGTATTATGAATGTAATTAATTCCACACAGTTGTATGTTTAAAAATGCTTAAAATGGCAATTCTTATGTTATATGTTTTACCAAGATTAAAAAAAAAAGGGAAAAAAAAAGAAGCAACTAAAAGAAACATGTTAAATATTTTCATTTGAAATTCCACTATTATCAATGACTGCTTAATGAAGTCCTGACCCCATATTTGCTTCAGGGGAACCTTTAAGTTTTCACTTCCTATCAGGTTCCCTGTAGCCTGAACTTCTTACACTTAGAACATACTTAGGTCACTGAGGACAAGGGTTCAGCTATGGAAATGCAGGGCCTTCTCCCTCAGAAAGGAAGGCGTACTCTAATGTCAACCCACACAGATTCCATAGGAAATAATGACTCTTGAGTCAGAAGCTGTATCAACTTGGAAGCCATTTCTATCTCTCCAGCCTTAGATACCAAGGTTTTCAATGTTCCTGGGAAGCAGATTCACTAACCAGTCAGGTCCTTTAAGACTTCAAAGTCCTACTGCGTGGATAGGGTTGATTTTGGTGGCCATGAAATGTGCAGGCTAATTGTTTTCAGGTGGCAGAGGTGCAACAACAGTTCAGTGACATTCTCTTTAGCATGGGGACCGCCTCTTTTTTTTTTTTACTGAACGGTAACGGGATCGCAACCCTCGGTGTTGCGCCCGTACTGGGGACCGGCAATGGGATCGCAACCCTCGGTGTTGCGCCCGTACTGGGGGCCGGCAATGGGATTGCAACCCTCGGTGTTGCGCCCGTACTGGGGGCCGGCAATGGGATTGCAACCCTCGGTGTTGCGCCCGTACTGGGGGCCGGCAATGGGATTGCAACCCTCGGTGTTGCGCCCGTACTGGGGGCCGGCAATGGGATTGCAACCCTCGGTGTTGCGCCCGTACTGGGGGCCGGCAATGGGATTGCAACCCTCGGTGTTGCGCCCGTACTGGGGGCCGGCAATGGGATTGCAACCCTCGGTGTTGCGCCCGTACTGGGGGCCGGCAATGGGATTGCAACCCTCGGTGTTGCGCCCGTACTGGGGGCCGGCAATGGGATTGCAACCCTCGGTGTTGCGCCCGTACTGGGGGCCGGCAATGGGATTGCAACCCTCGGTGTTGCGCCCGTACTGGGGGCCGGCAATGGGATTGCAACCCTCGGTGTTGCGCCCGTACTGGGGGCCGGCAATGGGATTGCAACCCTCGGTGTTGCGCCCGTACTGGGGGCCGGCAATGGGATTGCAACCCTCGGTGTTGCGCCCGTACTGGGGGCCGGCAATGGGATTGCAACCCTCGGTGTTGCGCCCGTACTGGGGGCCGGCAATGGGATTGCAACCCTCGGTGTTGCGCCCGTACTGGGGGCCGGCAATGGGATTGCAACCCTCGGTGTTGCGCCCGTACTGGGGGCCGGCAATGGGATTGCAACCCTCGGTGTTGCGCCCGTACTGGGGGCCGGCAATGGGATTGCAACCCTCGGTGTTGCGCCCGTACTGGGGGCCGGCAATGGGATTGCAACCCTCGGTGTTGCGCCCGTACTGGGGGCCGGCAATGGGATTGCAACCCTCGGTGTTGCGCCCGTACTGGGGGCCGGCAATGGGATTGCAACCCTCGGTGTTGCGCCCGTACTGGGGGCCGGCAATGGGATTGCAACCCTCGGTGTTGCGCCCGTACTGGGGGCCGGCAATGGGATTGCAACCCTCGGTGTTGCGCCCGTACTGGGGGCCGGCAATGGGATTGCAACCCTCGGTGTTGCGCCCGTACTGGGGGCCGGCAATGGGATTGCAACCCTCGGTGTTGCGCCCGTACTGGGGGCCGGCAATGGGATTGCAACCCTCGGTGTTGCGCCCGTACTGGGGGCCGGCAATGGGATTGCAACCCTCGGTGTTGCGCCCGTACTGGGGGCCGGCAATGGGATTGCAACCCTCGGTGTTGCGCCCGTACTGGGGGCCGGCAATGGGATTGCAACCCTCGGTGTTGCGCCCGTACTGGGGGCCGGCAATGGGATTGCAACCCTCGGTGTTGCGCCCGTACTGGGGGCCGGCAATGGGATTGCAACCCTCGGTGTTGCGCCCGTACTGGGGGCCGGCAATGGGATTGCAACCCTCGGTGTTGCGCCCGTACTGGGGGCCGGCAATGGGATTGCAACCCTCGGTGTTGCGCCCGTACTGGGGGCCGGCAATGGGATTGCAACCCTCGGTGTTGCGCCCGTACTGGGGGCCGGCAATGGGATTGCAACCCTCGGTGTTGCGCCCGTACTGGGGGCCGGCAATGGGATTGCAACCCTCGGTGTTGCGCCCGCACCGCGCTCAACCAGTGAGCGGAACCGGTCTCCACATGGGATCTGAACCCTCGGCGGGAGCGCCGCCGCGCTCCCAAGTGGCGCACTCTCCAGTGCGCCACCGGGCTGGCCCTGGGGACCACTTCTGTTCACATTTTCCATGTTGGAACTTTGCTGATCCTGAATTTGTTGAGTCATTATTGTGACTGAGGTGACCACCGAGCCTACTCTACTTAGAAAATCCTGTATTCCACCTCGCTCAGTTCTACCAGCATGACCAATGTCGATTTGCATGCTCTGCTACTGGCAACCAAGCCAACTCTGTTTCTTGCCTATCCTGTGCTTCTATTCTAAGCCAGGGATCTCACCTTGGATCCAGCCCTTCGGCTGGGAGATTATGT